CACTGTACAGGACTCAACGATTGAGGATGCTGCAGTTCGGGCTAATGAAGTGTTCATGTTCCCAGCCTGAGGATGCTGCCTTACGGGCTGTATGAAGGATCAGCGCTCTCAAAACCACTACCGCCCTCAACAAATGCAAGACCCTACCGTAAATGGCCCGAAGGCACCCCCAAACCCTGAAAAACCCAACCCTCAAATTACCCCCGAAATCAGGCCTAAGGAAATGCCTGATAGATCTCAAGGACCCCCCAAATAAATCCTAAACCCTCAGCAGCCGCGACCTCGGAGAGATCCTTTCCCAGTCCTTCCCAGGACCGAATCGAAAAGTTGATGGACCTAAACTTACCGATTACCTATAGATCGTAGGTTACGAACGATGCGCTTGTGGAACCCGCAAACCCATTTATGAGGCAACTGGAGCCTTGAAATTAGATTCAGGGCTTCTAGGGATGCGGGTTCGCGCAAGGAATATAGGAGAGTTCGGGGCTTAGAGGGGTCGGGATTGGGCGTTTAAAGTAGAGAAGTTGGGGATTCTTGTATGCAATGGCATGAGTCTGAGTCTGCCGGAATTACAGCACGGTTTCTGCGGATGGGAGTTCGACAGTTTGGCTTATAAGGTTCGGTGCGTGCGGAAAGTGGAGATGGGCGAAACCAAAGCCCACGTAGATTCTCAAGGATTGCCACGGGCGTGCTGGCGATCAGCAGGCGAGTCCCGGACAAACCAGGCCCTCCCAAATCCTGGAGCTTCGGGTAAGCGGTTTTCGTCGAGTCTGGCTTGGGCAACGTCTGGCGACACTGATACCGGTGTTGTGGGAAAGCACACAACAGGCTTCGGGCAGCAGGACAGCCAGAAACTGTACAGTGGAAGCAGAACGCATTCCGTGCCCTGGTCAAAATTGTAATAAGCCCTCCGTGGCTGCATTCCAGATTCCCGAAAAGAAGCACGAAGAGTCGGTCAAGATGACGGTTGGGTGAGCTGAACTATACACGGAGTCGGAAGCTTGCAGGGATCTCGCATTGTCGAAATCTGTTGTCTCCGAAGCAGACCAAAATGCCACGATCTGTTACTGCGCATGTGTGGTGAGGACCTGCCGCCACGGCGACGACAGGATCAAGATCGACAGGAACGTCGCACTGGCCGTGATCGTTGCCTCCGAAGCAGACGAGTTGGCCAGTGGACTTCAGAGCGCAGGTGTGCGCGTAGCCCGCTGCCACCGCTGACACCGGGCCAAGGTCTGGCGGCACGTCGCACTGCCCATGGCTGTTGCTACCGAAGCAGATCAACTCACCATCTGCTCTCACAGCGCAAGTGAAGCTAAGCCCGGCTGCTACAGCAGAGACAGGGCCCAGATGGACTGGAACATCACACTGCCCACGCTGATTTCCGCCAAAGCAAACTAGCTCGCCGTTTGCCTTGACAGCACAGGTGTGATGTTGGCCCGCGGCCACCGCTATGACGCGACCGAGGCCCGGCGGCACATCGCAGCTCGGCCCACGCGAGCCGAAGCAGACGAGCTCCCCACTTGCCTTCAGGACGCAGGTGTGGTAGAAGCCCGCAGTGACTGCAACAGCTGGCCCCAAGTTCGGAGGGACAGCAGATTGTCCAGTGGAGTTGTTGCCACAACATACCAGCTCTCCTGATTCCTTCAAGAAACACACGTGAGAGAGTCCTGCAGCAATGCACGATAGAGGTCCAACCAGGTTTGATGGCACACCATCGTCACCAGCCACTCCGAAGCGAGCCAGCTCCCGGTTGGAATCAACGGCGTATGTTCTTCTAGACGTGGCTGCGACGCGACTTTGACATTCCGAACCACACTGATACAGCACCGTCAAGAACCGCAGCACGGTCTCTGCCACGTTGTAGGGCAGAGCCTGGCCTCTTCGGTGCCTCTGCGCACAGACCCAGCACAAGTGGTGGAGGTCTCGGCCGAAGACCCGGAGACCTGGCCCACCCTGCGGATTGCGCAGGCGTAGCAGCTCCATGGGACTCCACAGCTCACCGGCCTTGCTTGAGGCGAAAGAGCCGTAGAAACGCCGTGCTTTTATTTATGTCAGCTATGTGACATTGTGTGACAGCGCCTGAGGAGTGATTAGAAGCCATCTGATCATCGTGTGGAACCCGGCATCAAACTGCAAACCGGGGCCTCACAAGCAGCTGCCGCGCAAGGTACCGTCCGATTGGAAGTGCAACCTCCGTCCTGTCTTGCAGCACCCGAGCAATTAGAAGCTGTCTCTCTTGGCGATAGCCCTGACCGTTAATGTGTACGAGGCCTCATGTTCTCCGTGCGGTTCCTGCAGGGTTCAACTACAACAGCCGACAAAGCCATCAATCGCTTCTCTAAGTCACAAAACGTTGGGTCCAAGTATCATGAGAGCCTATTGCCCCAAACCCTGTGCAAAGCCTACACACCCCATTGTCAGACCGAGATCACCGAATGATCATCTGGGGATCCCACTACGCTTTCCGTCTGAACTCTGAAAACGCACACCTGCCCTGATGGAGCACGCAACTCACCTAAATCCTCCCAGCCAAGCCTGACTCCGGAAAGCCTCACCGCTATGGACGCAAGCATTGAAAACCAAAGCTGCAGAGACACCCTACAAGCCTCGACTGGCAGCGACGCTGCTAGCTAGGGCGGCCGACAGTGGTGCTGACACTTTGGGACAGCATGATTAACTACTGGTTTAAGGGTCATTTTTGCGTTTAGGGTTTAGGAGATTCGAGTTCCGACCATTACAATGTTACGTGGGTGATTTCGTCCTGATGACACTGGTGCCTTTTACATTAGCGGGTGGCCTGAGACTGTTGTATTCGATAAGGACTATGAATGAGAAGAAGAGAACGCAGATGTCGATGACGTGTGATCGACGAGGAATTGCACCCACGATCCTGATGGTGATGACAGCGAAGCTGATGTTGACAGTTGACATGCTGTTGATGATGCAGTAGGGTCTCCGACCAAGAGCGGCTCCTACATAGCTGCTGCTTGAGCTACCACCCCCAGTCCTGCGCACTCCAAACCTGAACCGGGAAACATCAATCCGAACCGGCAGAGCAAGAAACGTCGCAAGAGAAAGGACTGCACGACCAATACTATAGCTACTAGCAACAACATCGCACCTGCAATCCAAATTTGTCCATACTGTATGAAAAAAGCACAACAGCTGTGTATAACTGTATAACCCTATCCCCTATTCGGAACATTTGAGACTCCTGGGCCGCGCCCCAGGACCCTTCCTCGGTCCCATCAAGGGTCGGGAAACATCCGGCACGATACCCTCAATCTGGTTGGCCATGTAAGACCCTATTATCAGAATCATTGTCTAGATCTCTATATTTCACCGCGGACTCTCACACCTATGAGGCGCAACCAACTCAGCCACGACGGATCTCAAACAGATTCCAGCCGAGAATTCAATAGCCCGAGCCTGTGAATGGAACTTGACCTGAAGGGCGTGACATGCTAAGGCTACGGCTACAAGGGTTAGCCGTGACGATTCTAGTGCTTCGATTGTCATCCGAAGCATTATGGACCCAACACCCATCTTAAAGCTCCCATGCCCCAAAGGGTTCACGGCATAGGATTTAGGGATGAAGATAAATAAGTAGGTTTACTTGTAAACCAACACGAATCAAGACCTAGACTGGACAAAACGACGCTAACAATTTACTAAGCTCAAACTCCGAACCCGACCACAACCCTAATCTCTAATGTTAAGTCCCGACGGGCTGCGAAACCAGCCCCAGCGTCGCCAGCCACCCGGCAACGTCCTGCACAAGAACAGATTGTGATTCGGGCTCGGGGCAGGTTTAGGCTGAAGTTGTTTAGGTTTGCGTGAGCTTCAGTATCCATCAACCCTAAATCCCCTAGAAGCCCCAGCTTGAGATGTTCCAGCTCGCAATTATCATCCCTGCAAAACTGGGGGCTTGGTGGTTGCGTACTGAGGCTGAACTTCGACTTCCATGACCCCTGAAGCGTCGCATCAAGCTGCAAGCGGCAAAGCTCTGGGGCTCGGAATGCCTGCAAAGATGCAGGGACAGCAGCACAGCAAAGACCGAGACTGCCGTTTTTTGCGTTCGTTTGCCACCCTTGCCCAACTTCCCCTCATTTTACCTGATTTGTCGGCCTCCCCTCCCTCTCCCCCCCCCCTCCCCCCCCTGTGCCCGTTTTCCTGGCACTTCGTATCAACAACCGTGTAAAGGTTGGGGTTAGACAGGCCGCCCTAACATAAAAAAACATCGACTGCCCCCTCGCCCTGCCGCTACACAGCCGAGGCGGGCGGCGTAGCGTTAAAATTATTACCGAAAAGCTGCTTGAGCGTCGATGTTTTTCTCGTGCCCAGACGACGGCGAGTTTAGGAAGTTGCTCCTGTGGCGGCTCTGTACAGAGGAAGCTGAAAGCAATCACCCTGCAGAGCCAGCGAAAGAGGGAGACAAGCCCACGACTGCCGAGGATGATCGCGGCACTCATGGCCTGACCCGCTATCTATATGTGTATATATGTATATGCTTATATATAATATATATATATATATATATATATATATATATAAGATGGTTACCACCCTTCGTCGCCAACGTCCGGTGATACACTGCCCGCAGATCCGCCAAGCGTCGCTTCCATAGGACTCTTTATCTGCCAAGGATGCTCCCGAAATGAAACAAGTAGCATTTGCAGTAGTCCATTTCCCCTAATATTAAAACGTCCCCCCGCCAACCCCTTAATATACAAATTTGTATTAGGGTAGGCTTAAATGTATGGGGGAAGGGATCAGTAATTAGCATTGCATTCAGCATCGATGCTACAATAAGATGATATAGAATGCGCTACTCTCTACATAGTGACGTGGTGCTTGGAAAGCGGATAGTCAAGTATCCGCATAGGGCCTGGTGGGGACATTTGGATGTTGAGAGGTTGCGAGCTTGCCATACCCAACCTCTTGCAAGGTCCTGCACATGGCCCGTTGTTCAGCTTCTCCGAAGTCTGAAAACAAATTTACAAGGAAGCCGCCGGGCCACAAAGAAATGTGCGAAGTTCGTGTGAAGTATATACACCATGAGTGAGTCCAACGGGCATCTGAGGCTGGAAGTCGTTGCCATGCCAGCCGGATCCGATGTTGTGCTCGATCCAGGTTGCCTCCTGTTCCGCCACGATTGCAGCGCCCTCCTCTTGCGAGATTTCGGCGGGAGGCTCGCTGTGATGCACCGGCTGCAGCACCTGCTGTGTTGGATCGGGGGCGGCTGGGCGGACGGGCCGAGGAGCAAGCCGAACCCTGAAGCCAGCTGGCACGTCGCACTGACCAAGCTCATTGAATCCGAAGCAAATCAGATCGCCACTCGCCTTCACGGCACAGGTGTGACGGCCTCCGGCAGCCACCGCCACCACTGGACCTAGGTCGGGAGGCACATCGCACTGACCAAACTCGTTGTCTCCGAAGCAAACCAGCTCGCCGCTCGCCTTCACGGCACAGGTGTAACGAAGTCCGGCAGCCACGGCCAGTACCGGACCGAGGTCGGGAGGCACATCGCGCTGACCATTTTGATTGTCTCCGAAGCAAACCAGCTCGCCACTCGCCTTCACGGCACAGGTGTGACGAAGTCCGGCAGCCACGGCCAGTACCGGACCGAGGTCGGGAGGCACATCGCACTGACCAAACTCGTTGTCTCCGAAGCAAACCAGCTCGCCACTCGCCTTCACGGCACAGGTGTGATGCCCTCCAGCAGCCATGGCCACCACCGGACCGAGGTCGGGAGGCACATCGCACTGATAAAACTGATTGTCTCCGAAACAGACTAATTCACCAGTCGCGTTCAAAGCGCATGTGTACCGCACCGAGGTCGGGCGGCACATCGCACTGACCATGAGAATTGCCTCCGAAGCAAACCAGCGCGCCACTCGCTTTCACGGCACAGGTGTGCCAAAATCCGGCAGCCACGGCCACCACCGGACCCAGGTCTTCTGGCAAAGCACGTTCATTTCGGCCGAAGCAGACGAGCTGTCCAGCCTGACTGATGGCACACGTTGAGAAGCCTCCTGCGGCCACGGCATTTGATTGCAACATGCGCCATCCCAGAAAGGGCAGAACGCGCTTGGCCCAATCCGTCCGACGAAGGTGGTGACAGAGCAGCCGAAGGTTGTACACGTCTTGCGGACTGACGTAGTGGTTGCTGTCCGCCAGCAAGCGCAGAGCCATGTTGCCAGCAAGTCGTTCGACCCTTGCTCCTCTAGCGCAGCCTTGAGACGAAAGCACAGCGGACACAGAACTTTCGTCTCACTTTGCTTTCCACGTGGCGCTGGACCTTGCGAACAGGCATGACAGCTGCCCAGTCTTCCCAAGCTTGTTTTGCAGCGGAGCCACATCCGCACCAATCGGCGCCTCGGATAATCAGGCGTTGGAAGTCGCATCTGCGAAGAGAAGGCACGAAGTGGAAAGCAACCAAGTTGGTGCTAACATCATCATTTTCTGTGCCCTCTCGCACTCTCCGAAGGCAGAATCTAAATCTCCGAAGAACAACCCAACGAAAGCCCCGAGGATCCAAAACTCAAGGCTAAGCCGAAAGCTGGAAAAAAAGCTAGAAACTCCCTAAGGAACCCAGTTTATACCATTAAGAAGGGAGCCATATGAGTCGCTTTAGAACCCCTGCCCCTGGCGAAGCCCTGACGCCGGTGTACATGGAATTGGGCTTGCAAAGCTCGCAGGCTTTCTTGTCTGAACTCAGAGTTTTAATGGGTCATAATCCTTAGGACTCTGTAGTCGTGAAGTGTAAACTTTTGGCGTAATCACAGGAGTTCCTTAAAGCACCCAGAGTAAGAGTAGATACTCTTAAGGTAAGCTTGTTCATCATATCATTTATGGGCCCTTAGCAATCCAAAGTGCTAAAGCCACTAGGGCTTATTAAGCACAGGCCCAAGGCAAATCTGCAGACCAAAGCCCCAAGAAAGCATGAGGGCTCTAAAGCCGCTAACCCTGAACCCTCAGCCCCAAAACCTTCCTCTCTCACAGGGAATTACTCTTGATTTTTGAAGGCCTGATCATGAAGGCAAGCATCAGCTTCTCCAGCTGGAGGCGCGGCATCTCCGATTCTCCTGTCCAAAGAAACTCCCCAGGTTGGATTACCCTTCCAGGACCTAAATCGTATACCGTAAACTCTAACCCCCTAATTAAATCCTGTAAACTCTTCAGATTCGACATTTACGCGGGTCTTCGGAGGCTAGCGGATATGGAGACATTGCAACTATCGCTCACGAAGGCCAAGAATCGCATTGTGGCTTGCATACTGCCGCGCATGAGATTGCTGCCCCTACAGTCTGCTCAGCTCGCCTCACCTCGACTCGACATGTGCAGTAAACTCTACATCTTTACTTAGCCCCCACACCAGAAACTCCAGACTCCGCGACATAGATATCCGGAAATCCCTTAACTCCAAGCCAAGATAGATACTTCTCTCACATCCAATTCAAGCAGCTTCGAACCGATGAGGGTGCTCTTGTCACTCGGGGCTGCACGAAAAGTTTTGGTGTTTCATATCATGAATAATTATTATTATTTCTACATCATGATGATTGTTATTGTTCTTTTGGTACAATTATCAGTGATATCAAACATTGTTTAGGGCATCTTCGGAGCAGCTCCCTTGGGGCCGGGAGCTGCGGCCAGACCCAAAAGATCCCCCCATGCCGAAATTTTCTGAAATGCCATCGGTTTAGGGATTAGCATATCTATAGGGTTTAGGTTTATGGGGCCGTGGGTTTCGGGTTTCGGGTTAAGAAACCCCAAACCCGAAACCGACCTCCAGGACGATTTTTTGATTTCAAGCCGCCAAGAAGCTCCAGGTCTAGTGAAAGCCCTTGAACCTGCAAACCACGAGTCGCCTCCTGATACCAAACCCTCAGATCACTGAGCTCCGAACCCTCAAATCCTAGAATCCTATCAACACTTCTCTCTCACAGCGATTGTTTTCTGAGCGGCTGGCGGAGAGCAGCTCACGCCCGGATGTCTCCTGTCGAAGGGCCCGCGGGAGAGCATCGGTCTCACTGTGCTTGAACTTTCGGAGCATTCTAATTTTGCTTGGGAGCGCAAATACGCCCGCATCGCCAGAAGTTCCCAACTCAACTCCAAAACCTGGTGTATTCTACATTGAGAAGTCACGTTCCCAACGACCCTGATAACAAACCAGGCATTCCCAAGCCGTCCCCAAAGCCTAAGATGCAACCTCTGTAAGCCGCATAAGCCCCAAACTCCGACACCCATCGCGCTCCAAGCCCTGACATGGCTCTCGCCGCTTTAGGCCCCGAAGGCCTGAACAGTAGGCATCAGCTGGGCTTGCTGGCGGCTTCACGTGCCATCCTTCTGCCAGGCAACGTCCTGAATACAGGCTCCAAGAAGCAAGGAAGCAAGCTTTACGGCTTGGGCCTCGTGTTCGGGAATGATTCGGTGTATTATAGGTGTTTGAGGTCTAAGGCTCTTGGGCTGTCAAGTGTTGGGGTGTACGGCTTAGGCTCAGGGCTCTGGGTTTGCTTGGACTGCTCAAAACTTAGACATTAGTAACCCTAGAAGCCATATGATAAGCCCGACCATTAACCTCATAAGCACTATTATAATAAGCCTTATACTATAAACCCTACAAGTGACTTACTATAGGTTTGGGCTCACAGCTGACCTTTCCGTAGCTTGCGCTCCGTAGCAGCCTACGGAAGCAGCAACGGAAATCCGTCAAACCATGCACTGTTGCTCCGTCCAGGAGCACTCGGCATACCGAAGCCCTGAAGCTCGAACACGAAGCCGAATGATGAAAGCCTGCGCCCTGAACTTCCACCAATCTGCCTTACAAAAACACACGTCCCCCTGTCGTCTTTGCGAAAGCACCCGCAAGGAAAGCCTCTTGCTTTACACTCTAAACCCCAGGTCCCAAACCCTCGGAGCCCCAAGCACTTAGAAGCCTCGGCAGCCTGAGCGAACGAAGGAGCACCGGCGCCTTGAAAGCCCCCCGAAGTCTATATACCAAGAGCCAGGACCCACCCAGCCTAAAGCCAAAAACAAGAAGATACCTATGAGCATCGGAGCCTCAAGTAAGAAACATCCCCAAGAGACGGGTCTGAGGTAATTAATCTGGGAACGGAGCGCCTCAACCTGACCCCAGGATCATAAAATCACAAGACTCCCTGAATCCTGAACCTGAAACGACAACAAATCCCAAGAAATCTCTGGACCTTGAGCCTCAAACACTAAACATTTCTCAAACAAGCCCCATACTCCTCAAAAATCCCATCCTTCGAGGTCTCCCCCCCGAGTCGAAGACCGCGGGCCTCGAGCAGCCAGGCTCTTGGGATCAGGCGCATGCTGCGAACAGCAGGGTTTAGGGTTTAGGGGTTTATAGGGTTTAGGGTGGGTTTCTTTCGAAAGTCATATGCAAGTGGGCGAGGGGCGAGGGGCCTCACTTCCAAGTCTTTCGAAGTCCCAACTGACACGATCAGTAGCAGTGCGATTCTCCTCGCTCTGAGTATGACTATGATGCCACTAAAGTGAAGTGCACAAGTGTTGTGCTGGATCGAGCCTAAGGCCTTGGCTTTCAGGTTCCGGAGAATGGGAGGAACCGCCATCACGGGCTGAGGAAGCCATGAAGTCTCTCAAAACTGTACGGCCCATGACGTCTCCAGAACCTTGGGCTCCTCCTTTCAATGCGAAGCGGAAGCGGGCGACTCCCAAACCAAGCTGCCCGTGGCCAGATCCAACAAACCGAGGACAAACAACACCACAAATTCCCTTCCAAACAGCCCTGCAGACACCTTCGCATATTTTGATCACCACATCGCACTTGCCTTCTCTTTACGGTTAGAACTTAGTTAGAACCGATCAACCCCCAAACCCCTACCCATAAGGCCCTATAGGACCCCATTAGATGCCTCTGGGCTTCGCACTCTCACGGACTTCCGAAGGCCAGCGTGACATTCGGATCTGCCCTCCATCTCCTTTTCGGATTCAGGGCTTTTGGCCTTGGGGGGTGTTGAAGTGCTGCCGGGTTTAAGGGACTTTGGGAGTCGAGATCCCTTATGTCTCTTCCTGATTCTTGCGCGCGGTTCAGGCTTCTTGGCATCATCCTGTCGGAACGGAGGTTCTTGGAGATGAAAGTACACCTCGACCTAGCTTGCAAGCAGCTCCACCCGGGCAGGGGGGGTTTGAGCCAGGCTTCCCAGTGACCCAGTGATACCCTGACCTGAAACCCACATATACACATTTCCATATATATATATATATAATTATTATATAGTCGACTTCAAACCGTAGCTAACATGCTCGTTGTTGTCAGCTGCACGGTTGCAGGAGAGAGATTACAACCGTAAGTGTCACGATCACTACGTTCGTTGGTCATGATTCGAGTCCGAGTATTATTTTGCAGTCCGTCACTACAAGTAGTGACCACCGCGTCTATATGGGACATGTAATGTGGAGGTCGGTTTAGGAATATGGGCTCCTTTAATGCGTTTTGTCCGGCGCTAATTCCGACCGGTACAAAAAATTTGGGCGGTCTAATTAATGCGTTTTTTTTGGCTGGGGGGATTTTTTGGTGGCGGGGCTGTGCTCCCACATCGCCGCACTGCCACTCTCCGGTGCACGCATCAGTGCCTTCTGGATGGCCTTCTGGGATACTGAAGAATAATCGGCTACAAATCGGGACAAGCTACACACGCCCGATCGAAATCTACCATCCGGATATTTTGTGTAATTATGCTGTATGCTACACATGTTATTATGTCATGTGCAAGTACAACTGAACTCTTATCTGCAGCGTCCAATTCAGCCTCAACGGCAATGCCGCCAACAACAGCGCCTTTGGAGGAGGCTAAAAGCAAGTCACTCCAAG